CTTGAAGCGTAACACATACCTAAGCTTACCAGCATGTTTTCGACTTAAGCCTCCCAGATGAAGATGAGATCAGAGTAGATAAGGTCGGAGGATCGCGCCGCATCGCCGATGCACCGCCGATGCGGCACGATGGGGAGGATGACTTTCTCCACGCCGACGGCGCCGATGCATCGCCGACGTCGCCAGTGCATCGCCGATTCATCGGCGATGCGGCGCGATCCTCCGACCCCATGTGCTCGGATCCCACCTAGGAGGCGTCTGAGGATGGCCACCCCGCTTCGCGCCGCTGCGGCGGCCCTGTGCGCAGTAGCGCGGTCCCAGACCTCTGGCGGCGTGTGTTTTCGATTTGGGAGCGTTTACTTCAGTTCGGTCTCCGGGGGCCCCTGTCGGTTCTGGGGACAGTAAAGAGTTGAGCCTGGGACGGAACACTTACCCGGGGAAGGGATCGAGATCTATGCGGCCACGTACGCCTTTTCTTAACCTCAGGAGGTCTTCAGTTTGGGGTCCCCCCCCTGTATCTCTCGGCGGGAAACTAACTCGCCCCTCCTCCTGCTCCTCCTCCGTCTGCTCCTTATCCTCCTCCTCCTCCTCCTCCTCCTCCTCCTTCCTTCTCCTCTTCCTCCGGCTCCTACCCCCATCCTCGTCGTCGTCGTCGCGGCGGGGATTATGTTCCCTCTAATGTTGTGCGGGCTGGATAATGTTGGGGGGTGCTTTCTGCCAGGGAACAATCCATTGTGGGCAACATTACAGGCGAGAGGACTTCTGAGCATCTTCTCATGGGGATGGCAACGGGAACCTGCAGTTGTGGTTATAGTCGTGGCTGTGGGTTTGAATGTAATTGTGCTTGCAATCGGGATTGTAGTCGCGATTGCAGTCAGAATCGCCTATGCCCAAAAACGTCGCAGAACAATTTCCCGGTAATGTTCATCGTGCTGGATAATATCGGGTTTTTTTTCTCCAAGCGAAGAGTGCTCTCTGGGCTACCCTGCACGACAGAGGACTTTTGAGCACCTTCGGGAGAGGATTGACATCTGGATCGACACATTCTTCGCCGTGGGCGTTGCTCACAATCTCCTCTTCTCAGGGGGGTAAAAACACACAGACACAATTAAACGTCGATTCCAAGGAAAATGTGGGAAAACATGGGAAGTGGGGGGGCAGTTTAAAACCCAGCAACCATGGAACAAATGGGGAATCCTGGCGTTTGTGTGTATTAATGTGTGTGTGTCCCCGGGCCCCTTTAGCGTTGCTCGCAGCCTCCTCTCCATGACGATCTACATCTTTATCTTCGTTCCCCGGGCCCCTTATCGCGCATCGGGCGCCGGATGCTTCTCCCTCTGCTGTTGGGCGGGCTGGATACTGTCGGGGGGCTCCTGCTCCCAGTGGGTAATGCTCTCTGGGCTACCCTGCACGACAGAGGAACTGCGCGCACGTTTTGAGAGGACGGCGATCTAGATCGACGCATTTTTTGCCGAGGGCGTTGCTCACAGTCTCCTCTTCATGACAATTTGCATGTTCATCTTCGACGTCGGCGCCCGCGCACAGGTCGCTGGATGCTTCTCCCTCTGCTGTTCGGCGGGCTGGATACTGTCGGGGGGTTTTGCTCCCAGTGGACAATGCTCTCTGGGCTACCCTGCACGGCAGAGGAATTTCTTAAACCAAAAAATACACACAGACACAATTAATCGCCGATGCCAAGGAAAGTATAGGAAAATACGTGGGGTCCTGGGATTTGTGTATTTATTTGTGTGCCCCTGGGCCCCTTCAGAATTGTGCGCAGGTCTGTAAGAGGATAGCAGTATAGATCGACACGTTCTTCGCCGAGGACCTGAGCTTCAACAGTCCTTCTGGGGATAGAGCTTCTGATAATCAGGTTTCTGAGGTAGGGTTTTCCGTGAGGGCGCTCCTGAGGCATAAGTCGTAGTATTCGTCGTAGTCGTAGTCGCCTTCGTTGCGCGGCGTGTGCTGCGGAACAGACATATTTGGTCAGTGGGACCCCAGTCCCTCAACAAGGCCGCCGAGCAAATCATTAGTTACCCCCTACTGCGGGGGGCTCTGAAGACCTATAGAGGTCACCCAGATTCTGGCAAGTGTGCCTGCCTGGATGGTTCCCGCCTCGCCGCCTTTTCCTTCAGCACTGGGCCGGAAAAGGGTGCACACAATTGTCGGCTTGCGTGATCTCCCCGCGCAGTGGAACAACCTGCCTTCTTGTTTGTTGCAATTTTCCGCATCTGGGTCAGGTTTGGAAGAGATGTTTTTTCCGACGCGCTGCCGCTGTCTTGTCGTCGTTCCCACGGCTGGATTTGCCTCGAAGTCCCGGTCAGAGCGCGCCTCTGGAGAGACCAGGGGAGTACAGCGGAATCGGAACCTCTCTGTCCCCCCATTCCAGAACCCCGACGTCACGATGTTTTCATTACGTCGACCCTGGAGGTCTCGATCCGTTCCCCTGGACCGGTTTTTCAGCCTGAGTCGTTCTTTGACGGCCCCCAGGGGGTCGGTAAGGGCCCCCAGAGGCCGAAAATACAAAAAAGAACCTCCTGTCATGGTCTTTGCATTGCTCAAGGGGGTCTGGGGTTGGGGGGCCTTTCCCGCGCCCCCGGGGCCGTCCAAGACGACCTCGGGATGAGGAGCCGGCCTGGGGAAGTGGTCCATAGACCTCCAGGGGGGGCCACGTGGCGAGGACATGGCTCAAGCAGTGACGAGGCGTCCTGGCTCGCCTATAGCCCTACCAAACAATGTTCTAAGAACCTTTTGTGGTTTCCACGAAATGTTCCTAGAACATGTTTCGCGGAGAGTGTCTTGTTCTAACACATGGGGTCTATGTTCTGAGAATATTGTTTTTGTTCTTAGAACATTTTGGGGTTCTAAGAACATTTCGTGGTAGGACTATAGAAATGCCGGGACGGTCGGTCCCTGCTCAAATGGCGGCGTCGGAGGTTTGGGTTGTCCGGGGGGTGGGGGGGCGGCCGCAGGGGGGAGCATCGACCGCCAATCCGCCCATGCCTCCCTAGTCCGCGAAAACTCAGACCCCCTCGGGCAATGAAAAAATCAGAACGAGAGGTTTTTTGCTATTTTCGGCCTCTGGGGCCCTTACCGGCCTTCGGGGGCGTCAAAAAACGACCGAGGATGAAAAACCTGTCCAGGGGAATGGGTCGAGACCTCCACGGGTCGACGTAATGAAAAAATCATGACGTCGGGGTCTGGGAATGGAGCATTCGCGCAAGCAACATCTTCTTAGGTATTCTTTTTGAGGACCTCCCTGAGGCCCACCTAACACATCTGTTCGACTTTCTTTCGACTCGAAGTCGACTCAAGTTAGACTCAAGTCGATGGACGTTCCACGCAGCATCGAAGCAGGAGTGCAGCGAGTAGCCCCCAGGAAGGTCCCCAGAGCGTGCATCTAAGACTTTCGGAGGCCCGCGCGGACTTCCGGCACTGGACCCCCCCCCAGGTGGCGCCGCCCCTGGCGCGCGGAGCGAGCCAGGGAGGGTCCAGCGCCGATCCAAGAATCCCGCGCAGACCACAGGAGATTTACGATTGCAGTCAGCCCGCACAGCCAGGATGGGCAGCCTTCCCAAGGTACGCCTGCATGCCTGCCTCCTCGGTCCCTCCTTCGCCGCTTTCGCTGGCCGCGCCCCGCTCGAAAAGCTTCGAAATGGGCGTCCGAGGCGTGGAGGGAGGAGGGAGGAGGGAGGATGGAGGAGAGAGGAGGGAGGAGGAGGAGGGAGGAGGGAGGAGGGAGGAGGGAGGGGGGAGGAGGAGGCAGGAGGGAGGAGGGAGGAGGGAGGAGGGAGAGGAGGAAGGAGGAGGAGGAGGAGGAGAGGAGGAGGAGGAGGAGGAGGAGGAGGGGGAGGAGGATCGGCTCCCAATCGCCCATTCCTCGCCGATCGGGGCCTGGGGCCCCCCCCCAATCCCGCCAAGGGAACCTGCAGTACACCCTAGGCGATGCTTAAGAAAACGTAAGTTTTCGTCCAGAGTCTCGATTATTCTTAACTTTTCAATGTAATTCCTACAATTTTAGTAGAAATTTTGTGTTTTTATTCAAATTCTGAGACTATGAATTTCTTAACCCATGGTTTCTTAAGCATTTCGCAGGGTGTATCGCCAGCGGGGGCCCTTGGCTGATCCATCGGCGGCCGATCTTTCGGCGAGGCATCGCCGATTCTGGGCCACTGCCTCCCCCCTGAGCCAGCCCCCTTGTCTGATGGGCCTGTTGTCCAACACCACCGCCATAAGTTGGAGGGGGGAAGGAGGTGGAGGACGAGGAAGAGGGGGACGAAGAGGAGGAGGAGGAGGAGGAGGAGGAAGAGGAGGAGGAAGACCCCCTCCCCCTCCAACTCATGGTGGTGGTGGTGGAAAACAGGCCCACCATATCGACGATCGACCCCCACAACAAAACTCAGCCGAACTAGCTGAGCGGAGAGTTGGGGGAGGTGTCGACCCGCGGCCGCAGTTTTCTGGGATGCACTAAACAAGTCTTGGTGTGCCAAAGTCCTCGTTTGTAGGGCCTGGATTTAAGTCGGGCCCGACCTAAGTTTGGATTCGCGCGCGCGCGGGTCGAACATCAAACGGCGATCGGAGTTCGATACATACCCCTGTTGCCCAAACCTCGCCTTGAACAACGATCAGGGTGGAAGTGATTTCGTAATATTCAGTGTCTGGTGGGCAATGCTTGGCCCCAGGAACATCGCCAACAGACTCGGGGAGACATCACATACGTATGTAAATGAGAGGTGTTCATGTGTACATGTACGACATACGAGTGACGAGCTGACACTATCTACGATTTGGGGAATACGCACAGGCATAAGGATAAGCGGGAGCATGTACGCATATACGTGTGACGTGTGCCTCTTTGCGTACACTTGTCAGCCCGTGCATTCCTTTCGTGCCACTCGTAGCATTCGGCCGTCATCTTGCTTGTTATGTGCGGGTTGCTTAACGGTTGTGTGTCGCCCCAGAGCGGCCCCATGATGTTAGCTTTTAGCAGGCTGCCCCAGGCCGCGCGCGGCCTGCACGCTGAGGGTCCCGCATTCCATCTGGACCAGCGCGCCGACGACCCCAGCAAGTAGCGTCCCAGGCGCGGCGCGCTTTCTATGGATTTGTGCAACGCATCGCGCTCGTGGCTCGCTGGTTCTGAGGAGGCGCAGGCAGGGGGAGGCTGCCAGGTCACATTCAGAGTTGAGTGTGCGGCTCCAAGTGATGCGATCCCCTCCTCACTGCTCCCTTCTCTCTCTCTCTCTCGCTCTCTCCCTGTCCCTGTCCCCCTTCTCCCCTCCTTCCACTCTCATCCTCCTTCTTCTCCTCCGTGTTTGTATGGTTTTGTTGACAAAGGATGGTGGGGGGGGCCCACATTGACCTTGGTTGGCTCCCAGTCGCCTGGGGGAGGGGGTATATACTAATAGGGAACAGTGATCAAGATGCCCCCCCCGCCCGCAAGCCGTCTCGCTCACTCCCACCCGCCCTCCCAACACATACGTAGCACCCGAGCCTGGCCCGAGCCGCACCATATTCAGCAGTCGTCTTTGGATGGGCAGCTACTGGCGGCCAATCCACCGCCGCCGCCGCCGCCGCCTCCGCCGCCGCCACCGCCGCCGCCACCGCCGCAGCCGCCGCAGCCGCTGCCCCCGCCGCAGCCGCCGCAGCCGCCGCCGCCGCCAAGTGTACTATGTATTGTTTTTTGGCAGGAATGGTCAGGGGGAGGCCACATCGGGTTCGCTGCGCATGCTCCGAATTTGGAGGCGGAGTGTGTTTCGAAGTGTTGTTTTGCAAGGGATGGTGGGGGGGGCGGCCCTCATTGGCCCGGGTTGGCTCCCGGTCGCCTGGGGGACGGGGTGTATATTAAGAGGGCACAGTGATAAACCCCTCCCCGAAGTAGAAGAAGGAGTGGTAACAGAGGAAACTGTTCTAGACCACCTACGCCCAAAGGGCTGGTGGGATTTGCGGTACCACCTTCCCTGGCGTCCAAGAAAGTCACTGGGAAGCTTGATAACGGCCCAGGGCGCCCCCAAGACAGCCTAAGAGTGCTCCCAGGATGTCCAAGCCGGCTCCCTGACGGTTCTGGAACCCCCCCAAAGCAGTCAATATTGCCGCAAGAGGTTTCCAAGAGTTCCCAAAGAGCTCGGGGACACCTCTCGAGAGGCCAGAATCATTGAAACACCGGGAAAATCAATGTTTCTCAGTTTTATCGCACCATTCCGAGCAGGCCCCAACGAGCTCCCAGGACCCGCGCCGAAGAGGGCCCCGAGAGGTCCGCAAGAGCTCCCAAGAGGCCCCCAGGAGAGCTCCAATATACCCCCAAGAGGCGCCCCGAGCGGCTCATGGGGGCATGCGCAAGCCTCGAAAGCGCATCGGAGGCGGATGTGCGAGAACACAGCAGGCATACATGTTTGCAATGATTTGGCCGCTCGTGGGGTTCCACGGAGCTATTGGGGGACTCTTGGAAGCCTTTTGGGGCGATCTTGAGTGCTCTTTGGGACCTCCAGAGCCAACTTGGGAAAAGGAGATTTCCTCAAATCCAGTCTTTGTGTTTTTAGCTCGACTCCCTCCCTGCGTTCCCTCCTGTCCAGGCTTTGGCGTGCCCCTGAGTGCGTTTCCCTTTCCTCGATCCCTCGATGTCCGTTATCCCTGCTCTCTCTCTCTCTCTTTCTCTTCTGCTCTTGGTTCGCTTGCGTCTCCCACTCCACACCCTTCTCCTTCCTCTCCTCCCTCCCTCCTCCCCGCTGCGTCATTTGCCCTCCCTTCTCGTTTCTCCTTCACTCACGCCTTTCACTCTCTGCATTCCTTCTGCGATTCCGACTCCCCCCTCCTTCATCTGTCTTTCTCTATTTCACTCCTACTCTCCTGGCTGAGATTTGTTGCGTTTCCGTTTCTTCTGGGCGTATGCAGGGCCTTTCTGTCTATCTCGGTGGTGTTTGGGAGGTCCTTTGGGAACTTTGGGGCCAACGAGATGGGGCAATTCAAGCCATCCAAGGGCTGCCAAGTTCAGTCGAAGCCGTATCGGGCGCGGCCTTGGGGGTCCTTTAGGTCGTTTTGTACCTTCCCGGGGAGCATTAAGATGTTGCACGAGATACAGTATTCGACAGATGACGCAGCTTACTCTCTAAGCGACGTCCAGTATGACTTCGCGCCATAGGTATGCGTGCACGGCGATTCCCCCCTGCAGTTTTCTGGAAAGCGCCCAGGAAGGCCCCAGAAAAGCGCGCAAGGACATCCTTCTCCTTCATTTCCTACCCCTTCTTCCCCGCTGCGTCATTTTCCCTCTTCCCTCCTCCTCGTCTCTCCTTCACTCCTTCCTCTCTCCGACTCCCTTGTGCTTTTCCGTCTCCCCTCTCCTTAATCCTGGTCTCTCCTCTATTCCGTCCTCCCTCCGCCGCCCTCGCTCAGCATGCTGCCCCGCCAAGTGGTGGGATGCCCTCCTCCGTCTCCCGTTTCACATCCTTCTCCTTCCTCCCCTTCCCCTCCTCCCCGCTGCGTCTTTTTCCCTCCTCCCTCCTCCTTGTGTCTCTTTCACGCATTCCGTGTCCCGCCTCCCCCGTGCTTTTTCGGTTTTCCAGCGCCCCGAGACGGCCCACGAGGTCCCCAGGACAGCGCCGAAACAGCCCGAGAGTCCCCCTCGACGGCCCGAATACGACCCGAGAGAGCGCCAAGCCAGCCCGCGAGGCCGCCAAGACGGCCCAAGAGGCCCTCGAGACGGCCCCGAGGCAGGGGTGAGAGCGGGGATCCAGAACGACACTTCGAACCCAGACGCCGAGCCGAAAGCTCTGGGGAGGCCCCCGAGGCGCCCCCCCCTCCCCAAAAACTTAAGTCGGGCCTGTCCCCCTACAGGGGGAATATTCAAACATAGTACAAAAATAGTCTGGGGACGATGTTCTATTGTTTTTAGCAATTATTAGTGTATGTTTGAATATGTCCCTACCTAGGCTCTGCCTAGAAGGGTTCTTACTCTCTGGGCTTAAAGGGGCCGGGCAGTGGAACGCGCCCCGGGCGGTTCCCCCAGTATCCGCCCCGCGGTTCCCCCAGTTACGTCCCATTAGTTTAGCGTTGCTTATCTCATCTTAGCTTAGCCTAGCTTAATTCAGCTTAGCTTAGCCTGGCCTAGCTTAGCTTAGCTTAGCGCAGCTGAGCTTAGCCTGGCCTAGCTTAGCTTAGCTTAGCTTAGCCCAGCTTAGTTTAGCTTAGCGCAGCGCAGCATCAGCATAGCATAGCATAGCATAGCATATCATAGCATATCATAGCATAGCATAGTATGCCGCAGCATAACATAGCGCATCATAGCATAGCATAGCATAGCGTAGCGTAGCATAGCATAGCATAGCATATATAGATAGGTGTTCATGCATACATGCGGTTTAGTGCAGAGTATCGTATTTGTATATATATATATATGTATGTATGCATTCATGCACGTAGGTATTCATGTATGTATGCATGCACGTATGTGGGGTGTGTACGTATGCATGCATATATGCATGCATGAATGCATGGCTGTATACATGCATGCTTGCACGTATGTGCGTGTGCGCATTTATATACGCATGTACGGGTATCTGTATGTATGACTGCATGCATGTGTGTGGATGTGTATGTGCATGTGTATGTATGCATGCATGTATGCATGCATGTGTATACGTATGTATGTATGTATGTATGTATGTATGTATGCATGCATGCATGCATGCATGTATGTATGTATGTATGTATGAATGAATGCGTGTGTGTGTATGTTTGTGCGTACGTACGTACGTATGTATGTGTGTATGTATGTATGTATGAATGTATATATGTATGCATGTGTATAAGCATGGTTGTATGCATGTGGCATGTATGTTGGAGTGGATGTATGCGTGTATGTATGCATGTATGTATGTGCGTCTGCATGTCTGTATGTCTGTATGTCCGTATGCATGTATGTATGGCTTGATGTACGTATGTATGTACGTTTGCATGCATGATTGAATGCATGTATGTACGTACGTATAGATGTATGTATGCGTGTGTGTGTGTATGCGGGTATGTGTATATGTGCATGCAAGACGTCACTGACGCTTCGCGCCATGCACCCTGGCCCGTCTGATTTGGCATACAGGCGAATATGAGGGAAGACAGTAGGTATAGCGATACTTATTTGTTGCTTTGGCGTCATCGTTGTCAAATGTTTACTCTCCTTCCCAAATGTTTACTCTTTTTCTCCCTCAGTTTCACCCTACCCTGCGAACCCTTCTCCATGCTCCCTGGCTCTTTTGCGGAGGCTCCTTACTGGAGAGTTCCTTGGCGGCCTCACGAAAATGCTGAAGGGCCTCTTGGGGCTTTGTGGAGGCTTCCTGGGCGCCTTTTGGGGTACTTTGGGGGTGTCCTCGAGACACCCTGCTTCCCGTCGCGGTCTCCCTGAGCGACGGATTCACGATTTGCTGTGCTTCGAGGGTCGTCTTGGGGCCATCTTGGGTCGTGGGGCCCTCTTTGGGCCGTGTTGGGGCCCCGTCGGGGCGTCTTCGTGCTCATGGATTGTCTGGAAGCCAGTTCGGGTAACGTCGAGACGAACGTCAAGCCTCTCGGGCGGCCTCGGGCGCCCAGAGTGCCGAAGAACCGAGTGTTCCCCACATCGCGCAAAACCCACTTGTAAGTCAGTGCTTTTTGAGTTCCCGGGGCCTCTTGGGAGTATTCGTTGGGTCGTCGTTGGGCATTTGGTGGGTGTTTGGGGCCGCTCGGGGCTCTCGCTGGGCCGTTCGGCCGCCCTTCTGCCCGGTTTGGGCCCACTGGCTGGGCCCAGCAGGGGCGTCCAGCAGCCCCGGAAAGCTCGGGGAACCTTCTGCAGGGATGTCCAGGGGGTCCCCAGGGCCACTGAGGGTTCCCGTTTTGGGGGGGTCGCACCCCCAAGATTGCAAACATCGAGTACAGAATTTATGTACGTCGATTATAGACTCGCATACTTGAAGCCAGGTGAGGGGATGAGGGGAGGCATCCCGTTTTTGGTGAAGGGGTGTAGATTGGGGAGGCATCCTGTTCATGTCCTTGTTTGAGAAGTCCCACGCGGTGCTCATCTCATCCACATTCTCTTCCATCTCCTATTCCTTCTTTGTTGCCCTCCACCTTCTCCATCTCCTCACCTCCTACCCACTCTCCTTCACCCACCCGTGCTCCTGCGCCCCCCACCCACCTCCTGCTCGCCACGTCTCTACTTATCCTCGTCGTGGTCCCCTGAGATCAAACGTTGATCATCGCCACGCCCAGAGGCTCACCAACGTTACTTTTTAACAATAGATGTTGTGCAACATGTTCATACACCGGTAAACTTGCAGCATTTTGATCATCCACCGGTAAAATGTAACCGTGGATGCTGTCATCCACCGGTAATTCAACCACATCCACCAGAAAACCAACATCCACCGGTATTCCAGCATCCACCGGTAATCCATCAACACATCCATAGGTCACGTCACGGTCAATATTTAATATGATTTATTTCACGCGCGTTTTTTCTCCTCCTCCTCGTCCTCCTCCTCCTCCTCCTCCCCCCCCCGTTCAGTCTCATCCTCCCACGTGTGGCAGGTACCACATTTGACCGCACTTTCGGCGGCGATCGCTAGTTGAGTACCCGAATGTGCGCTGACACGGTGGCAGGACTTGCCCCTGCTGGCTGGATGAACAACCATGCGTAATCACATTTCCGCGGGTGCCTAACACGGGCGAGGCCACGCAGTGGCATTTATGCGTATGTGCAGGCGCGCGCGCGTGCCTTGGCGTCGCCGACAGCATACACCGGTAAAATTGACATCCACCGGAAGCCTAAGTACATCCACCGGCATTCATGTTTAACAGTGAATGCGTTTTCCTCATTTAAGCTCATGTACCTGTATATGGCCGACATCCACCGGTAAAATCAGCATCCGCCGGTGAACAGGCCGACGCGAGCCCAACCGTAGAAAGCAACAGTGAAGAGCCTCTGGGCGGTGCGGGACAGTTCGGCCCGGTTGTTGCCGGTACGGGTACGGGACGGTATTGCCAGTACGGTAGCGGTACCAGTAAGGCTGTGGGATCGCGCGGCACCGGTATCTCGGACCACGGCCAGTTCAGGAACGGAATTGGAAGGAAGAAGGGGAGCGGAGGCAGGAAGGATGATGATGATGATAATGATGATGATGATGATGATGATGATGATGATGACGACGGTGATGATGCTGATGATGGTGATGATGATGATACTGATGGTGATGATAATCATCATGAGGATGGTGATAATGATGATGCTGATACTTATGGACATGATGATGAGGATACTGACAGGGCTAGTGGTGGTGATGATGTTGGTGCTGATTCTGATTGTGATGATGCAAATGATGATCATGATGATGATGCTGATGCTGATGATGTTGATGCTGATGCTGATGCTGATGCTGATGCTGATGCTGATGCTGATGCTGCTGATGATGATGATGATGATGATGATGATGATGATGATGATGATGATGATGATGATGATGCTACTGCTGATGCTGATGCTGCTGATGATGATGGTGGTGATGGTGCTGATGGTGATGATGATGCTGATGATTATGAATCCCAACCATCCTGTGGTGTTGGGTCCTCGTTTTGAAGAGACAGCGCCTCGCGTCCCACCTTACTTCCTCCTCCTCCCCCTCCTCCCTCCTCCCCCTCCTCCCTCCTCCCCCTCCTTGCCTCTGCTCTCGGCACACCTCTCACAGGTTTCGTAGCCCCATAGGGAGCTCCACCGAAGGCCCCAGTGGCTGCTCTCGCATGCGGTTCCCCCACCCAGGCAGCGCTTCGTGGCCCCATAAGGGGGCTCCACCGAAGGCCCCAGTGGCTGCTCTCGCATGCGGTTCCCCCACCCAAGGCAGCGCTTAGTGGCCCCATAGGGAGCTCCACCGAAGGCCCCAGTGGCTGCTCTCGCATGCGGTTCCCCTACCCACCCCACAGGGAGCCCCACCGAAGGCCCCAGCGGTTGCTCTCGCATGCGGTTCCCGTACCCAGGGCAGCGTCTCGTGGCCCCATAGGGAGCTCCACCGAAGGCCCCAGTGGCGCAGTTCGCACGCGGTTCCCCCACCCAGGGCAGCGCTTCGTGGCCCCACAGGGAGCTCCACCGAAGGCCCCCGTGGCGCAGTTCGCATGCGGTTCCCCCACCCAGGGCAGCGTTTCGTGGCCCCATAGGGAGCTCCACCGAAGGCCCCAGTGGGGGTGTTCGCATGCGGTTCCCCCACCCAGGGCAGCGTTTCGTGGCCCCATAGGGAGCTCCACCGAAGGCCCCAGTGGGGGTGTTCGCATGCGGTTCCCCCACCCAGGGCAGCGTTTCGTGGCCCCATAGGGAGCTCCACCGAAGGCCCCAGTGGGGGTGTTCGCATGCGGTTCCCCCACCCAGGGCAGCGCTTCGTGGCCCCATAGGGAGCTCCACCGAAGGCCCCAGTGGGGGTGTTCGCATGCGGTTCCCCCACCCAGGGCAGCGTTTCGTGGCCCCATAGGGAGCTCCACCGAAGGCCCCAGTGGCGCAGTTCGCATGCGGTTCCCCCGCCCACGGCAGCGCTTGGTGGCCCCATAGGGAGCTCCACCGAAGGCCCGCCCCAGTGGCTGCTCTCGCATGCGGTTCCCCCACCCAAGGCAGCGCTTCGTGGCCCCATAGGGAGCCCCAACGAAAGCGGCACCCACAACGCGTTACGAACAATTGCTTATGGTATGGTCCTACGCCCGGAAACATTTTAATATGTTGATTATGTTGTAGTTATGGACGGTGGTGTTGATGTTGTTGATGTTGATGGTGATGATGGCGATGTTGCTGATTATGAATATGACGATGATGATGTTGGTGCTGACGATGCTGATGCTGATGATGATATTGATGATGGTGATGATGTTGATGATGATGATGCTGATGATGATGGTGATGCTGATCATGACCATGACCATTATCATGATGATAATGATGCTACTGCTGATGCTGATGCTGCTGATGATGATGGTGGTGATGGTGATGATGCTGATGATGATGCTGATGATGATGATCATGCTGATGATGATGAAGAGGAGGAGGAGGAGGAGGGGGATTATGATGATGATGCTGATGATGATGATGACGATGTTGATGATCATGATACAGATGATGATGATGATGATGATGATGATGATGATGATGATGATGATGATGATGATGATGATGATGATGATGATGATGAGAGTGTTGATGCTTATGATGATGTCGATGATGATGATGATGATGATGATGATGATGATGATGATGATGATGATGATGATGATGATGATACTGTTGCTGCTGCTGATGCT